TCGTCGCGTGATTTTGAGCTAAACTATTTAACTACGTCGTAGTCTTAGACTCCAAAAATTAAACAAAAAAATGGGACCCACCTGCAAGCATAACCTTTCGGATAGAAAAAGAATTATCCAAATCGGTCCACTAGCGGCGGAGTTATGCCGTAACACACATAAAAAAAAAATAATAAAAAAAAAAAACATACGGTCGAATTGAATACCTCCTTCTTTTGGGAAGTCGGTCAAAAAATAGTAAAAAATTATAGCCTATGTTACTCACTGATAACGTAGCTTTTTAATGATGAAAGAATTTTTGAAATCGGCCAAGTAGTTTTTGAGTTATTTCAACACATATAAAAATACAATTCAATTCTCTTTATAATAATAGTATAGATTATATACTAGATAGAGAGTATAGATATTTTTTATATAATATGTTTTATTTTGTTATTTTTTTAAGAAAATCATGTGAAATATATTATATATAAAAATAAGAAAATAAAGATATGAGAGTATAGATTATAAATGCGAGGTGTAGATGGATGGATGTCTGTTAGTTTGTTTGCTTAAACCGGTGAACTGATCTCGATGTTTAGTGTAGTTGTAAAGTATAGTCTGGAAGAACAATAGGCTGCTTTTGTTTTTTTTTAATTCCTGGGCGAAGAATATTAGAATAATATAAGACATTATCGATTAAAAACACAAAAGGGTTTGAGGTTAGGTTAATTAAATTAAAAATTACAAAGCAAACATGAATGAATGAATGAATGAATGAATAAATGAAAACGTCATTCTTTTGAAACGAGAACGAATGTTTTAGGTTGAAACATTTACTATCCGTTTAAATGGTTGATGGCAGAATTAACTCGGTCAAAAAGTACGCTAAAAGAATTTTGAATTTTGTCGCTGAGAGTTTAAAAAGAAACGACATAGTTGATACTTTTTCATCAATTACAATACTCTGGAGAGTCAATTGACTTTTAAACTGGGATATTTTTTAGTAAAAGTGTTCCAGTGAACGAAAAAGTGCAAATATTCCACTAGTTATGTCTAATCGGAAGTTAGTGAGGTTATTTTTAATGTTTATTTCACATTTTGCACGAGTATTGGTCATATTTCTGTGAATAATTGGGACATCGGATGAGTTTATTATTTTTCGTCTATTCCGACGAGATTTCCTTCTCTACCATTAACTAAAAAAATCATCGTTTTGTTATAATTTCTATTACTATTGTTATCATTAGTTTATTGTTTAACAATGGTTTAGAACAACTTTTAACGTTTATTGGACTGTCTAAAGTTGAATGGACTCATTAGGGATTGATTGAGTTTAAAGAGACGATGAATTTGGTGTGATGAAATATTTATAAGGGAGCAAATAAATTTGTTTTAAGTTGTATTGTTATTTGAAGATATTTTGGAAACAATTTTACAAGAAATAATTACAACAGCTGTGGTAAGTAGCATTTTTGTAAAGTATGATAGAAAAATTAACTTACATTATTGGTTCCCAAGCAATTTGCCGCAGTGAATTTACTGAATGGTGATGTTGAGAAGAGCTCTCTTTGCGGCACTTTGTCTTTACGATCCTGGTAAGGTGTGGCTGCAGGGTCTGCGAGCTCTTTGTTCACAGGCAGGGGGCGCCGTCGTCAGCTGTCGCCAAGCCGGCAGTCGGGCTCCCCGCGTGGCCGTGCGTGGACGTCACCGCGTCCCTTCCGAGAAAAACTTTCTTACGTCAATTCAATGGATATAACCTAACACGACGTGAGTTTTTGCAAAGTTGCAAATAAAATGTGATTTCGTTTCGATCCTTACAATTCCAAATGGCTAATTAATAACGTGTTTCGTTAAACGTGACGTGTTTGATTGCCGATGATGTGAATTTTATAGTGCATTGTGTTAAAAAGCAAATATGAGTATCCAAAAGTGCCTCTTGGATAACTCTAGCAGGATGATAAAAGCGATGTCGACGGCCAAATCGAATAACAATGAAGTTAAAACGGTGAGAAATTATTAAAATTCATGTAAATCATTTGTATAGTGTACAATTTATAGGTTATCTTACACTTTGCTGCAGAGGTTAACATCACGTAAAGCTATTATTGGTTATAATTGATGGTTAAAGTGAATAGCATTGGATATTTTAGTATTATATTGACGTTATCGATATGAGTATATGTGCGCATGTATTTTGATGCAATTCAGTGAATAAGCATGCGTATTATATGAATATTACGTTGTTTTGACGTCGCTACCGAGTCAAGCAGTTAACTCGAACGCGTTACATTTTTGTTACGGTTAACTGTGAAGTATGTACTAATTAGTTTCGTTTTGCCATCACGAATTGTACTTGAAAAGAACAAGGAAGTTGTTTCTACAACTATGTTTCTGTAAATCACTAAAACTTCCTCATTTAAGTGTCGTAAAATGTTTTCAAATGACAATTTATGTATGCATTGTACATTAACTTGTGTAAATAAATATAACCCCAGCACTTTTATTTAATGTCATCGCTTTTTTATTTCAGGAAGATATTAAATAAACGAATAAACTCTATCCTTGTTAAAAACCTGAATTTACATGTAATCGTGATAAAATAAAACAAAAGAAATTCTAATCAACAACTAAGTAATTATTATTAATTAATTAATAATCAAAATACGTTTAATTAAAGTGAATATCGTGATAAATTCACCACAATTATTAGGCTCTATATAATATAAAAGATCGGAAAAAAAACACACACAAACAAAATAACTTCGAATTGTTTAACAAGGCAGCCCTTACACCCTTATTAACTAGAAATATCCTTGGGTAAACATTATATAACATACCATTATCGATTAGCAAGTAAAGGTCACATGTAACTTACGTTTTACATAATTTTTACAACTAAAAACACGAAACTAAGACCTAACATACACGGACAAACAGTAGAGCCCGCTTTAACTTGACACGAATGACCACACAGAAGGCAAGCGTGAAGTGGAAGCAATTCTGCATTCGCCTGATGAGTGCATGCCTGAGGCCTTTTAGACCTCTTCCCTTTTACTTACAAGGGATGAGAAAAGGAACTGGTAAATGTCCCCTTTCTGTGCGTCCCTTCTTTTGATAAAAAGTAGGCAATGCATCTGCAAATGGGCAGCGGTCACTATTTAGGCGAATTCCGGTGACCGTTGCCTTGTCACCAAATACTATAAAAAAGTTCATGGACGTTCGCCATACACGTACCACAGTTTGCGGTTACTGGTTGAAGCTAGGCCGTCTACAGCTATTACTACTAATTGTTAGAAAGCCTGCAAGATCGTTAGTATATCATTAAATTATTCTGTTATATCAAATGATATAACAGAATAAAAATAATAATATACATAATAATATAATGAGTATATTAGAGGAAGTTTGAGAGTAGCCCCAGTGGTTGAGAAAATAAGGAGTAAAAGGTTAGAGTGGTATGGGCATGTTATGAGAAGGGATGAATCGCATGTAACAAGAAGGATGTTAGTTATGAATGTGGAGGGGTACATCGGTAGAGGTAGACCTAAAAAGAGATGGATGGATTGCGTGAAAGATGACATGATCAAGAAGGGAGTGATGACTGAGATGACGGATGATAGAATGCTTTGGAGGACGAAAACCCGGTGCGCCGACCTTACGGGAGTAGGATAAGGCAGGGGAGATGATGATTCTGTTATATCAAATATCAGATTAAACAAAGAGATACATTTTGAATATAGGTAATCCATATTGTATTATAGTATATATCTTGACGTTATCTGCGTCAATTAATAATTGTTATGGGCTAAAATCATAATAAATGATAAGTGAGTTTTAGTTAATCTATTTATTTTGATAAATCGTTTTATTAATAGTAATATTTGTTCATTTAATTTTTTTTTATTTACAGCTAAATATTATACATTTTACATATTATATCTATAATCTGTATAATATTGTATGACATTATTTTCTCGTGTTATTCCGCCAACGTTAAAACTTGACCGACGTTAATGTAGTAAATTAACATAAAAAAGTTTGTCATATAAATTTTTATATAGCAGTGCTATGTAATTTAATTTAATTATTCTTGTAAGTATTGTTTCACGTTTCCATTTAGACTGAGATATTAGAAACTTTATTGAATTTTGTATCGTTGAAATTCAGTGAATATGAATTCAGTGAATATTCGATCTCAGTTGAAATTAACTGTCGAACGCAACGGTACGATTCAGTTCAGAACAAAAGTGCAGCTTGTACGGAAAATGGATGACGATTTCAAAAGTTTTTGAAGTAAAAAAATTTAATTTCGCCACTTTTTAAACATCATTCAGGTTTAAAAAAACTTTCACTAATCTTGTGTATAATTTCGTGATATAGCATGATTTTTCTATCAAATCACACCGAACCAAATATTTGATCCTTCAAAACTAAAAAAAAATTAACAAAAATTTGGGAACCCTCCTGCAATAAATACCTTTCGGATAAAAATAAAATTTTCAAAATCAGTCTACCAGGAGCTGAGTTATGACGTAACACATAAAAAATATACAAACGAATTGAGTACCTCCTTTTAGGAAGTCGGTCAAAGGTCAAATACAACCCGACTGCAAAAAGATTTGACTTATGATGATGGCATGGAGTTTCTTATTATAAAAATATTTATTTACTATTTGTTCCCATGCGGCTTCATCCGCATGAAATTATGAAAATTTTATTTTATTGTTTACATTTGTCAAATTATCAATTGCAAATGTCAAAATGACATGACATGACAAACCTTGGCAATTTTGTTTCCTTGATGTTGGCAGCAACTTATGGTCTCTTTCTCACATTAGGGTTTTTATCCAAAATACTTACCCCCTAAGTTTAATATATAGCCTAAAACATGACGTAAATGTAGGGCTTTTTATTAAAAAAAGAATTATTCAAAAATATGCTGTAATTGCTGACATCTTAGGCAACAAAGAAGTGTGTACTTACGCTTTATTATAATAATATAAAAGTATAGATTGTACAGAGAAAATAAACTAAAGGCTACTGGGTCTTTGAATTGTAGTGAATAAACAGTTTCCCTAAGTAATAAATCTGCTTCTTATTGTCGGTAGTAAATACAAGGATACGCCATTGGCTTTTGTTATTCTAACCAATAGAATGTAGACCTTAAAGCTATCGATATAAAGATAAAATTCGAATTATATTAAATGTAATTAGGATAGTGTTAATGGATTTAGGCTGTTGACCGTAAGTTAGGACTTTTGGGATATTTTAGATTGTTACAGTCTGTGAATATAACGGTAATTGTTCAACTTGGTGCATTGTTTTATAATGCTTTGACCCCGTTATGTTGTTATTCGTAATTTTTCAAAGGTTTATGATCTTTATGCATCACTAGCTGTAGCTCGCGATTACGGCCGCATGAAAATAAAAAAATAGGACAAAATGTAGCCTATGTTACTCACAGATAAATTACCTTTCTAATGGTGAAAGAATTATTAAAATCGCACAAGTAGTTTTTGCGTGAATCAAATACATAAAAATCCAAAAATACAAATCTTTTCTCTTTATAATATTAGTATAGAAATATACTAGTTGTTGGTTGCGACTGCGTCAGCGTAAAATTTAAAAAAAAAAACATAGCCTATGTTACTCATTGATAACGTAGTTTTTTAATGGTGAAAGAATTTTTAAAATCGACCCAGTAGTTTCTCAGTTATTTCAATACATATCTTTCCCTTTTAAAATATCAGTACACTCGTATATTACAACAAGCCACTAAGATAATTTAGCAATTATAAAACAATCAATTTGTGTGATAACATAATGTGAACTAATTCCAACAGAGATTTGAAATTAAAACTTTGTTCGTAAGGTTGGTCTTAAAGCAAAGATAAAAGCAATTCCCCTGAGCTTGGGAAGTTTTAACTAGTTTTTAAGAGATTTATATGTACTTGAGGCGAAAGAACAAGCTTCTATGATCAAAGGTGTTCGTATTCTTTCAAGAATATTTGAAATTTCGAGAGAGATGTTTTGGATTTCTTTGTATAAAAGTACTACAGCATATGGTCGTGATGTGTGATTTATGAATTGTTTCTGACATTTTTATATGATGGCCAACAACTTTGTTATATGTTTGAACTAAAGGGTTTCACCTTGAATTGTGATGGCCGTGCGGCCGAGTTTCTATTTCCGATTACAATTTAAATACAATGCTTATTTTTTTCAATTTATAAATTCATAGAAATATAGCTGTCGCTCGCAAACTTCATTAGCGCAAATTTAGACCACACGTTACGCCATTTTGACAGCACGGAATAAAAAAAAGTAGCCTATAATTGCAATTCATGTCAGCTACCCTCCAGTGAAATTCCCGTCGAAAATGCCTAGCCGTTTCGGAGATTACCCCGAACAAACGCGGCTTGCAGACAGATAGACAGACAAAAAAAAAAATTAAATGCGATTTTCGTTATCAGCAACGTAAATAAATCATCTTCTCGAAATCTGGAATTTTTCTTTTGATATTATAGACACTCCAATTTTATTATATATATGTATAGAAGAAGACATCCAAAAAAAACTTTTTTTTATTTACCGTAATACCTTTATCTTTATGAAAAGGGGTTTATTTATCAACATCACAATGAAATCTGAAATGTATTTAATCACTCTTTTGTCCATTAGTTGTTAACTGTGAGATTGTGAAGCGTTGTGGCCTTGGGCATTGCTTTTTCGACTCTATTGTTTTAAGAATACAGTTTCAAATGCAACATTTAACTTTGACACGTGCCTCGGCCATAATCTTTTCTGTGTTCGAGAGTAATTGAGCGTGGCCCGCCATCGCCACTCGGCTGCCTCTAAACAACCAGTGAAATTATTTTCTCTCATGCGACGCTTTCTTCCCGAGGTCGTATATTCTCATGTTTCTATTTAACACGATTGTTTTTTAATAGGGTTGAGAGTTACTGACTGAAGAATGCCTATTACGTACAACCTTATTTTGGATCCTGGTACTCCCGGTTTCACAATCGTCGTATTCTCGCCAATCATTTAGGTTTCCGCGGCATATTTCTGAAATGTAGTTACATTCAATACATTTCGAATCTGTAACGCAAATAATCGTGACTAGCTTTCGTCGTGGAGTTAAAAAAAAACAAGTAGCTTATGTCTTCTTCCAGACTATCCTCAATATCTATGCCTTCATCGAGATACGTTCAGTAGTTTAGGCTACAAATTAACAAACATCCATCCATCTAAACTTTCGCATTTATAACATTAGAAAGATCCTCAGATAAACAAACGATAATAGATTTGAGTCCTAAAACAAACTATAAACTTGTCGAGAGTACGAACCAATTTCCAAACATTAGCTGAGGCTGATTGCTTCGATACGCAAATACTATACACAGGTAGAACTGAATGTCATAAATCACAGCCAGACATTCCGGCCAGGTGCTCACGAACTATTAATGATTCCAGTTGATTGGACGCAATCCATTATATGTCGATTATTGCTTAAAGATTATTCATAGCTTACTGCTAAAGTTATATTCCAAAAGTTGCATTTGTGCAAAAATTTATTAAACCGGAGAAGACAAAAACTAATAATCATTGCTTTTGAGAGTTGATAAATCAATCCTATTTTCCTTAGTAAATTTTCAATCTTTAACATCGATAATAATGGATTATTCCTAACCGTCACCCCGCTCTGTCCCTACTTGAAATAAAAAGTTTCCTCAATCACCAATAAGGTGACAGATGGAACCGTTATGAAATAAAATAAGTTCCAACCGACCTCTCGCCGCAAAAGGTGGGACAGATGAAACTTTTTATTCTCATCTGTTCCCACATGGGGACTGAGCGGGGTGACGGTTGGAAATAATCCATATTAACGATGATTGCTGCATCTATCTATACTTCTCTACAAATTTAATAAAGTGTAACCCACCCCACACTACTTCGTGGCATAGGATGTCAGCAACCATAGCATATTTTTGAATATTTCTTTCTTTAATAAAAAAAACCTTATATTTACGACACGCTTAAGGCTATATATTTCCACGCTGCTAAACTTAAGGGGGTAAATAAATTGGAAAAAAACCTTCAAGTGAGAAAGGGACCATAAACTACAAGCTGCCAACATTAAGGAAGCAAGGTTATTATGGTAACGGTAATTTTAACATTTGCAATTGAGAATTTGACAAATGTAAAGAATAAAATAAATTCTTTATAATTCCAAATGAAGCCGCATTTGAACAGCTATTTTTTCCTAAGACTATGTGGCAAACGGAGTGGAAACACGGAGGTGGTCATCGGCACCTAGACCTCCGTAATACTAGAGTTCACATGTGTAGTCTTTGAGAAGATGATATGCTCGCATAAAGGACCTTTACTTTACCCTTTGGAAATTGTATGCCTTAGTTGTTCTGAACATTACGAGTATAATCAAATGAAAAATATAAACTAAAGTTAGAGTTTTAATACACGAATAATGGTCGGTTTCTCAGCTACTTTTAAGCATTCGTTACTGTTGTTGATTCCATAACTTCTTGAAATGCGTTTCCGAACTACGTAGCTTGAATTTCGAACCTAATAGTAATTAATCACTAGGTAATGGTAACATAAATGGAAACTTCAGCAACATACCATAAATAGAATAATCTAGAATAAATTTTATTTCTCTGATTCCGATAAATGTGACAAGAATTACTAAATTTAGAACTGTACTAAATTAACTATTAATGCGTAATTTGGGTCGTGATAAAATTCTATTAATATTAAAATGTTCTATTTAACGACATTTCTAGGTATAATTTAAAATGAATTATTGTTAGAAGTCTAGAAATGCGATACCGCACGAGCGGACCGCACGCTATCACTTCTCCTGGGGAAGTTTTAACCTTGATAAAACTAGCTTTCGCCCGCGACTCCGTCCTCTTAGAATTAAAAAAGTAAGTAGCCTATGTGTTATTCCAGATACCCTCTACGTCTATGCCAAATTTCATCTTGTTCCGTTCATCCGTTTAGGCTACAAACTCTAACAAATATCCATCCATCTAAACTTTCGCATTTATAATATTAGTAAGAATACTAAGATATCCAGTTGTGTAATGTTAATCAAATAGGAGAAGCAAAGAACATTAAACAAAATTGACAAAATTATCGTCCGGTGAGAGCTGTATTAGACTTTAATCCGCCAATCAGAGATAGATTACCTGGAATAAACGCGGCTTTCCGGACACAGGCAAAAATTCTAAGACCGGGCACACACCTTTGTCAAGACTAACGCAGAATTGTGCGATTGTCGATTGTTTCGCAGCCAATTCAACTGCTCAATTGAATAACTAAATATCGAGTAGTGCGCACCTCCATACAAGCTCATAGGAATCAAAGCGCGACTAAACAGTTGTGCGATAGTTTGGGTTATAGTTATCAGCAACGTAAATTCATCATCATTACATAAAGACATTCATGTTTTGTAATATAGAATATGCCTGTATATATTTTTTTCATTAAAGAACTTATACATATGTATATTTCCCTTTATGTTATAGGCCGCTCTATTTCAAATGTCAATTAAGGATGTTATGGATTGTGCAGCCGGCGAGCTTTGTAAAACAATACGTCTGTATGTTTATACCAAAAATTAGGGCTGCTAAAAAAATATTATTGAATTTATTGTCAATTTTAGAAGTCATTTTAAACTAAATAAATTCTAATCTATACATATATATATATATATATATA